CCAGCAACCTCGGTTACGCTGGGCGTAGCAAGGTTACGTTGGGCGTACACCTTGGATAAGGTTGCCAGCCGAAGCCAGTTGTCCCGCACCGTCGGATGGATCAGATCGGAGATATGCGGGGCGTAACTTCTTCGGATGCAAGGCGTACTGCGAGGGCGACGTGTCACGATCCGAAGCAAAGCCTTGGTCAACAAGCAACAGCCCAGATGCAGCCACGTCATCAATCTCGCAATAGGTCTAACAAATTTACTTTCCGACTTCTAAAAATCATATCTTTTGCATACAAGTTCCGTTTTTGACGTTCTTTATATCCGCGCGAAGGTGGAAACGTACTCTACAACTTTCATTTAGACACCGTCGGCTAATTTTGACTTATTTTAAAATTTATATTATTAACAGGCCGGGACAGGATTGATCCGTTAAATTCTCATAACTTCTTCATGTCACGTCCGTTTTCGCCCATCTTTTTCTCGTTACGCTACTCTTAACGAGATCTTTGATTCTCTTTTAGTTCATGTCGGCTAAAAACCGCTCGATCTATTATTCTAATTTTGGACTGTACACTGCTAATCCGAAACTTCGAAAAATCATGACTTCCTCATACGAAGTCAGATTTGGGCATTCTTTTTATGGACGCTCTCGGTTTAATGTATTCTACGACTTTCATTTAGATTGATAAGGCTAAATCTTGCTCTATCGTAAATTCATTATTTATGCTTCCCGGTATCGTGCCGATTTTGCCGAAAAACTTCGACGGGCCATAACTTCTTCGTTATAACTCGGATTTCGGCGTTCTTTATATTTACGTAAACCTTGTAACATATACTACAACTTGGTTAAGATTATTTATTCTAAATAATATTTTGTCGAAAATCGTTTTCAACTCTTATTATCTCTAAATTGACTGACCAAAACTACGAGCGTTACAGCGAAGCCAATCATCCGCGCAACTGCTGAAAGCGAAGAAAAGCCACACACGACGTCAAACCAATGGGTCGCCGAAAAACCATGAGGCGAGGTTGTCATTGCTGTTTGTTCCCATTGAAGCTGTTAACCACTTAGATGGGCGAGCATCGGTGCCCCCATTAACCAGTGAAACTGCAATGCTCTTTACCATCTTATTCTATCACTGCAATCATCCTCGTCGTCATTCCGGGAAGCTGTTGCGGCTTGCGTCCTTCTCCGACTGTCATGTGCCACTGTGGGGGAGGTGGCTGAGATTGGATGCTTTTCCCGATAGAAACTAGGGTGTTGAAGATGTGTGAGCGTGTGTTGACGTGTTGTTGGGCATGGCATCTCGGGAAATCATCGCCACCACCATGAGGTGGTGGCTGCCGTCGCAAATCACCGCCTGCCGCCTCCGGATTGATGGTGGTTGTGTTTTGCATGACCAACTCGTGTTTGTGTGTGTTTTGGTGAGGATGGGTGTGCTCATTGGCCATAAACCATGGAAGACCATTATGGGTGCCAACCATGGTGGTTACCTCCACCTTTTCTATTCTGTCACCACCACTCACCGCATGGTGGTGGCTATATTTGTGTCTTTGCATGTGTGTTTAGTATTGTGTGATCGTGAACGAAAAGTGAACCGCCACTGGCCACTACGAGGGTGGTTGTGTGTGTATGTTTATCTATTAGTCCTTAATAGGCTAAGTAAGAAACACTTAACCCTAATCTCCATTTCCTGGGAAGTCCCTAATTTCACTTGGGCCTTGAGTTAGGCCTTGGTGATTGGGTTATTGATGGACTATCCAAGAACAAGTAAATTGACTAAAATAATTGGGTGGGCTTTAGGATAAGGCACATGTGAAGGACTTGAGCCCAATTTGGAAAATTAGGCCATAGATGGATCATAACCGGGCCTTGATGATTATGAGATATTGTGTAACATCCTAAAAATCATGACCAAAACTTTCATTTTTAACTTAATACATAACCCATATTTTATCCAAACATTCTATTCATAACGAAAATAGTTATATAAAATCATAGTATCATCTCAAAACATGTTCTTTTTATCAGAGTAAACATCCCAGGTTAAAACTTTTTAGTGTGTGCCATGCAGTCATCCCGAGCTCTTCCCTCCGCTACCGGAAGTACCTAAAACCAAAACTGAAAACTGTAAGCACGAAACTTAGTGAGTTTCTCAATCTACCTCATACCATACATAATCACATACTGCAAACATTGGGCCTAGCCTGCTACACCGGGCCTCGCCCGACATCGGACCAATCCAGCATCAGGCCCCGCCTGACATGGAGCCCCGCTCGGTATACAAATCTATTTCTCTAAGGCCCCGCCTGTCTCTGGGCCCCTCCCGCTAAACAAACACAAACATATACATAACACATAATCTAAACATATTCCATTGCAATCCTGTTCTAAGGCCTCACCTATCTTGGGCCTCACCTCAGTCCTGTTACGGGTAAGTCATGGAACCCCGTCTACGCTCCTGCTGATAGTGAGATATGGACCCCCGCCCATACTCACCTCTCTCCTACCTCGGCCTCGCCATTGTCTGTTACTAATGAGATACGGAACCCCGTCCATACTCTACTAGTGATGAGATACGGGACCTCACCTGCACTCACCTCCCTACTAGGAATATACAAGTATCACAGAGATAACAAGTATAACCTAACATACAACCTAAGAATCTTCCTCGGTATTGGCAGGTAATCGGACCCCCGGCCAAGAGACATATTATCATTTAAAATACTACGGGCTTACCCCGACATCGAACCCCCGGTCCTGAATCTATCATACCTACATATGCAAGAATCACAAAGACCTCTAGCATTCTAACCTTCCTCGGGCCTCGCCCGATATCAGGTCGTAACCCGAAACATATACAATAAGTGCCTAAGGCTAACCCCCAGGTATTCCTACTATACATAAATATGAACATAATGGGTCGGCATTGGTGCCTTAGACCCATAGAAACAGTGAGGAGACTCACCTTGCACTGCTGAAGACTAGCTGAACACTTTTGATTGCTATCAGGCGACTCTTGAACTGCTGATCCTTCGGCTTCCCGAACTATTAATACCCAAAATAACACTTAGACCACATTACCCTCAAAAGTCAAACCAGGTCAAAGTCAACGCTCTGAGTTGACTTCAACTCGTCGAGTTGACTCATTAACTCGTCGAGTCTCACAATTCACAAATTACTTCTGGACTTCGATCCTACTCGTCGAGTTCTCCTTGAACTCATCGAGTACTCCTTCAACACGTCGGGATCCATCTTCATCTGACTCGCCGAGTTCCCCCTTTGAACTTGTCGAGTCCTCCTTCATAAATTAGGGAGAATGCCTTGGACTCGTCGAGTTCCTCTTTGAACTCGTCGAGTACGATGATCTTCAGGTCCTCTAAGAACCCAAAATGACTGAGTCCCCTTCCAACTCAAATCATACCCGATAATAGAAGGGTTTTGGGGAAAGGAAATAACCAGACTCGCCAAGTCCTATAAGTGACTCGCCGAGTCCCTCTATGTCCAAATCTATTCAAACGATTCTAGTCGAGCACAAAGCATCCAGGACCCAGATCTAACCTTCTAGGGTCGGAATAACACGCAAAGCTACTACCTTTACATCCATGCATGGCCCTTTTTTCTCAAAAGGTCATAACAACCTCTTAAAATTTGCATGGAGAGTTCTAATGGCATAAAGCTTCCACCTTTATGCCTTAACTGCCCACAATACTCTTAGATTTAAAATGATCTTACTTGGGGATGTCCAAATCCCACACACACCCATTCATGGACCAAAATCTTCATAAAAGGGACTATAAAGAGATTTAATAAATTAAAATCCAAGATGAAGACTTGATTACCAAGAAATGCAGCCACTGGAGTGTATCTTCTGGATCTACTTCCTCCTTCTTTAACCTCCAACTTCCTTCTTCTCATTCTTCCTCTTCAAGAGCACAAAAATCACACAAAGGTGGCTCAAACACTCACAAGGTACATTAGGGTTTCGTGGGTGAGGTTTGGGGTCTGGGGGCTGAAGATGAGGCCGAGGGAATGAGAATATGATGCTTAAATAGGGCACCAAGTCCCGAAATTAGGGTTTCCCCAACCCAAGCCAGACTCGCCGAGTTAGTCCCCCGACTCGCCGAGTCGGCCACTTAATCCGCGACACGGAACTCACTCCCACTCGTCGAGTTCCTCCCTGGACTAGACGAGTAGACCTCTTGACTTGGGGTTTTCTTTCCTTTCTTGACCTTCTGAATTTGGGGTGTTACATATTGGGCCATTAGTATACCAATAGTTTGGACTAGAATTAATGGATGAACATTAAGGAAAGACCACGTAGAGTTCTGGGCCCAATTAGAAAATTGAGCCATATGTTGGGTTTTGGTCTATTGCTTGACTATTGGGCCTTTTAGAGTGTGAGTTGGACCTTGGGCTTGGAACCTAATTATTAATTTGGTATTGTTTGATGTTGGCAGTTCGGGAATTTATCAATTAGCAGCTGGAGTTTCATCCTTGGGACTTTAGTAGTGCCAGATGAGTTATCCTCAGTATACTAAGGGGTTGAAGGCACCAATGCCGACCCATTGGATATGATATCCTAGCATTTAGTATTATGTTAAGTATGAGTTAGTTATGCATGCTAGTTGCTATGTCAGTTTGGCAGACCGGTAGGATTACGTGTGTTATTACCTGATTATTTGTATGTGCATAAGTTATGTTATATGTCGACATGTTATTAATGGTTTTGAGCAAAAGAACATACTATGTGAACATGCAAAACCTTAAAGCTTTGGATCCAGTGCAACAAAAATATATTCTAGGGACCGTTCGAGTCAAATATATATATATATATATATATATATATATATATATATATATATATTAGGGACCAAGCACGCATATTACCCCAAACCATAAGGATTATTCATGTAATTTACCCAAAATTTAAACTAAGAATCACATTTTTTTGAAAAACACATAAATCAAAGTTTATAGTTTAATAAAAAATAAATAAAACATTGGCTAAAATTTCCCAAAAAACGTGGATCCGGCGTATACTTTCATTATTGTTGTCATACCTAACGATTAACGGAGATTAACGGAAAATTCAGTTTTAAGACATTTCATCCGTTTCTTTCTCTCGCCCTCTCGCTATCCATCTGACTTGTCATTGACGTCGATGACTACCACGATCACCGCGACTTTCACAACGATAATAATAAGTTTGGTAGATAAATCCCTCACCTCAGATTCATCAAATCTTGGAGCTTAATTTAGGGTTTGATCCAAGCCAAATGGGGTTCATCCTGTTCGCCGGGAGACTTCTCTTTGCTTCTCTCTTCATACTATCTGCTTATCAACTGTATATACTTTGATCTCTTTTTTTTTCCCACAGATCTGTTTCATATCAACTATAAGCTTGTTAATTGCTTCATTAGTTTCTTCTCCTGCTTAATATGCTTTTCTATTCAATTTTATTATTCTCTGAAATTCACTTAATAAATCGGTGTTCTATGGAGAAATAATGTGCTAGATTTTGACATTTAAATGGCTAATTGAGTTGAGCTGGTTTACGATGTTGAGTTAACGCAAAAAGGACGCGTAGAACAGATCTAATTCATATTGACTTCTAGCTTAGTAACTGCTTAATTACTTTAATTCTCTCGTTTACTGCTGTTACATATGCTGTAGCTTCAGTTTTCCTAATAAACTGGAGTTGCGATGCGTACTTAAACCGAAGAAAATGGAGAAATAATGTGCTAGATTTTGGGATTTAGATGGAAAATTATGTTGAATAGGTGATTAAACCATATCCAACCATCACATTGTTGCAAAATGCAAAAAGAAAATTATTTGTCGCTGATCAATTTTCTTAAATAAAATTAGATTTTGCAATTGTGATATGTATATGGCTTCATCTTTTTAGGTATCATGAATATGGAACAGATGGAGGGCCAGCTGTAAAGGTTCTTGAACCGAAACTTGATGTGTTCACTAAATTGATTGCTTCTAAAGCCGGCATACAAATTCCTGAAATTGATGTAAGCATCTCTCTGTCTTTGTCCTTGATTATGTTATGCATTTATCCATGAGATGTTAAAGTTGCTTTTTCCTTCAATACTCAACACCCATTAATTGCATATTCATTTACATTCATAATACTAAGATTCACAAGATGGAAACTTAAAGTTAACACTAGGTATTTTATATATATTCCAAAGTTAATTTGGTTTGTGTTGAACTTGAACAGACAAAACATGTAGTTGCAGCAGTGATTGTTCTTAAAGGCTTTGGTGGAGTTGGCTTCATATTTGGTAGCTATGCTGGTGCCATTTTGCTGGTAATTAATTAATTAACCATATATAATTTCATTAACTAATGTCACCTGTATATATTGAATGTAATTAATTCTTAAGTTTCTTTGATATATCATCCACAGGTTCTGCATCAGCTTGTTTTTACACCTATATTGTATGATTTCTACAACTATGATGTTGAAGACGCAGAATTCGGTCAACTTTTTACTAAATTCACACAGGTTGGTTAGCTTGATTCCCATTTTAGCAATGAAATTTGTGCTTTTTAATTTATAATGGTTTAATTTTGGAAACAGAATATGGCTTTGCTTGGAGCTTTATTATATTTCATAGGAATGAAACACTCGATATCATTGCGTCAACAAAGAAAGGTTCCCAAGACAAAAACAGGCTAATCACTCCTTAGATACATAAGAATCCCTTAATCTTGTCTATTTGTATTTGTAATTTTTTTTATAGGGACTACATTAGTTGGGGTTCATTTTTTCTTATTTAAACTTGATACCCTTTTAATATCAGGTTGATTATTCATTGATGTATCAAATTAACTCTTCGACTGATAGTATTGTATGGTGACTTGAGATATTTCATATCTGTTTGTCTGTGTACTGTTGCAAGTAAAACGTTTTCTTAATGTTAAGAAACTATAATTCCATTACATTGGCTAAAGTTAATAACAACATAATCGAAAGATATTAGTAGAAGAACTATATTTAGTTGTTGAAGGACTAAAATGACAGTTAATTATAAAGCATGGGTGTTCATGGTTGGAATCGGCTCCTTTGGAATTTTTTGAATATACATGTAATCATATGGTATAAAATTAAAAGCTTACAAATGTTTTGCGAGTTACTTACAGCAAAATCCTGTATCATAAGTATCTGTATGAACCTAAGAAAATTTCAGAGTGTGGGCAAAAGAACATTTTTTCAACAACCGGCTACTCATAATGGTACCGGGAAAAATTACAAAAGACCTTTAAAAGTTTATCTAAATATATCTATTATGATATATGTCATTTTTCTTTCATCGTATTAGTTAACAATAATAATCAACAATAAGTGTTTTATAATGAATAATAATAATAATAATAATAAGTGGTTATAAAATCTTTGTGTATAAATGGTCTTTTATTACTTTGTAATAATAATAAGTGACTCTAAAATTAATTACCAATAATAATAATTAATAATAACATAATATTTATAATTATATTACATTACCTTACGGACAATGATTGAAATTTCAAATAAGTAAAATTTAAATTAATGAATTATAACGATAATTACAAGGTAATACTAAATTGAGAATAATATAGTGTTATTCACAATTGAGTAATGTGATTGCAATAGCTGCTTATTTTATTACATCGTTTAAATTAGTTATAATTTTAAATCATTTTAGTATAGAAATTATTATTTATAGTTAATGCGAATGACATAGTAATTTTATGCAACCTAATTTTTTAAAAAATATTTTTAGTACATAATTAGAACAATTATTTGATGTTAATACTAATGACACAATCACTTTCAACATATATATATATATATATATATATATATATATATATATATATATATATATATGCATGTGTGTGTGTTTTTTTTTGTGTGTGTGTGTGTGTGTGTGGGGGGGGGGGGGGGGGTAAGAGTTGTAAACGAACCAAACGAATATGAATAAATGTTTGTTCATATTTTTTCGTTTTAGTTAACCAAACAAATGAACAAATACAAATGGATAAACGAACGAGTTTTCTTATTCATGTCCGTTCGTTTAAAAAATTACATTTTTCACGTTCGTTTGTTTTATGTTCGTTAACTTGCTAACGAACAAATACAAACAAACATAATTGAACACATATGAACATATAATATAATAATATAATAAAAGACAATTGAATATATATGAACATAAATAACTTTAAACGAGCGAATATAAACGACAACATGAATGAACGTTCATGGAGATAAATGAACGAACTAGACCATTGTTCATATTCATACGTTTAACTAAATGAACGAAAATTAATGTTCATGTTCATTCATTTATTAAATAAACGAACTTACCACCGAACGGTTCACGAACGGTTTGTTGAACGTTCGGTTTATATATAGCCTTATATGGGGTTATTCATGGATTAGTTAAACATGCTTATACTTTGTGTCTATGTTATTCTTGGATAAGTTTGAATAAAATTATTCCTTTAAAGATCTAAAGAAGTTGAATTGAAAACTTAACAAATAACATATAAATATATTGAATAAACCCAAGACAAGGGCTAAAACTGTTAGTTATTTTACCAAAAGGGTGTGTATTATAAAAACATTTACCAAATAAGGAGTATTTGTAATTTAATCTCAGAAAATCGGGTTACTGATTCCTCAATCCTGCGCCTACACAATCCAAAAACCCAACACTCCCAGACGCCGTCTCCATCTCCGGCCACACCAGACGCCGACATCTCCATTAAGGTTCGGATTTGAACTTTTATTTTCGATTTCTTTCACGATTAGGGCTCATTCACAGTGTTTCTATTTCTGTTTGAATACGATTTTTGATATGCATGATGGAGAAGAAGAACCTGATTGTCTGTTACTCTTTTATTATAATATGCGATTTTTATAACTTATAAGTTTTTCTGATTTTTGATATGGATAATGGAGGAGAAGAACATGATGGTCTGTTTATGTTTTTTAATTATAAGAGTGAGAGCTCTAAGTTTCCAATTAGGGTTTCTATGTTTACATTTTCATAATCGTTGTTAAAAGCTTTTCTATCTGCACGTATTTTAGGTCATAAAAATTCCTTTAAATTTGTAGCGTTATTAATAAGTTGGTTTGTTCAAAGTTCTTTCTCGAATATCTGGTTTAGTTCTTTGCTTCGCTTGTAAAACAATGTTTATGGTTTTGGAGATTAACAAAAAGAAAAAAATCAAGTTGCCATATTTTGAGAGAATGTTAGATGTCTGCATTTCCACGTTCAATTCATCGTTCTCAAATCATATATACTAATAAAAAACGGTATTAAAAATATACATAAATAACAACCATATCCATATGCATGGTTAATCTCTTTAAAGATATCAGAGCTGCTTTATACCATATCAAAATGACAAGCTTCATGAAGGCAAGGTGAAGAACAGCCATGGATTGATTACTGATTACTCAACACTTTTCTGTATTGTGGATCAAACATAGAATTAAGAATGGGAGAGGGATTACAAAAGTTAATAGATTCAAAAAATTGTCGTTTTCTGTCTTATGAATTTATCTCCTCCAATTTCGTGCTCTTTGACTGTTTTATGACTGTGTTACATGTTAGAAATAAGAATGACAGTAGATTTTTAACTGAATTGTATGCTACTGTGTTTTTTATGAACTTATGTGATGCCTTGATACATATTAGCCTTGTGATCCATTTGCAAAATTGGTTTCAATTTGTTTGATTGATGTTCTCTTGTGTGGTGTGTTTGCAGATTAAAAAATTGGGGAGAAGAAAAAAAGTGCCACTATTTTCATACGCCTAGTTTCTGCTGCAGGGACAGGTTTCTTCTATGTTAAGAAGAAGAACCCGAGGAAGATACAGACAAAGCTTGAATTCCGAAAGTATGATCCTCGTGTTAATCGCCATGTCCTCTTCACTGAAGCCAAGATGAAGTAGTTAAAAGCTTTAATAGATGATAAGTTTCAGAAAACACCCTTCCCTTTTCATATCCCATCTTACTGTTGAAACTTCTTTGTCATTCCATAACAAGAAGTATGCTTTGTATGTGGCTTCTTTATGTTTCCTGTAACACTCTTGAGTACTTTAATCTGTGATAGAAATTTGTTCTGTTGATTTATCCATCTTTTATACTACTAGTCTTTTCTTTTCATTTATGTTCTCATTCCAAGGCTTTGGAGGGCTGGTTTATTATGGTGGATAGCGTTTATCATTAGACCGGAGGGTGTAGGTGGGAAACTCCTCTCATTTTTTGTGGGCCACATCACCCTTTCCTTCACCTAAACCAAGGAATAGGTATTTGTTTTTTTTTTTTAAATAAAAGTAGTTCTTTTTTTATGATTTATAATTTTTAAATTAATAATAAACATAAAAATTAATTAAAAATAAAAAACATTTCATTAATTAAAATAAAAATTACATTAAATTTAATATTTAAATAAGTAGAAAGTTAAAAAATTAAAAAAAAAACACACAAACAAAAAATCAAACAACCCACAACATAGAAAATATAATTAATATCCTAATTAAAAAAACCAAAATAAATCACTCAGAATCATTGTCATTGACCTTAGTGTCTTCATCATTTTCCTAAACGTCACTTTCGTCATCGGAATCTTCGTTCTCAAAGAACATATCAGTATCCTCGTCTGATTCGTTAAACAAATCATCGTGATAATACTTATTGGCGGCTGAATATGAACCCTATAAACGTGCTCTACCAAATTAGTACGAAAGGCATGATGAATTTGCGATTGTATATTTCTCTTCTATTTGCCCTATACTATTGTAGTCTTCTATAAGATGATCGTGTCCGGTTTTGTGATTTCAATGCAACTGCGGGTTTCTTGGTTTAGATCGTGCACGTAATGTTTCGCCTTGTCGGTTTTAAAAGTATGCAACTGTTTTCGTCATGACGGAACCGATAAACTTAGCCTCCTCTTGAGCCGTCAAATCGGATGATGACATTTTGATTAATATTTTTTGAAGAGAGTAAGATATGGGTTAAAAAAATGTTGGGTGTTGTGGTATCTATAGTGAGAGAATAGGAATATATATATATATATATATATATATATATATATATATATATATATATATATATATATATATATATATATATATATAGAGAGAGAGAGAGAGAGAGAGAGCCGTTGGAACAAACAAATAAATAAATAAACAACCAATCGGAGGAGTGAGAACGCGACAACCCCACCCCCACCTCCTTCCCCGCGCTCGCCTTCCCGCACCGCCGGTGCGGTGTTCATCGGAGCGGGAAAGGTCCCGCTCCCGGCTCTGTCCGGTCTTATATAGGGTAGTGGTCGAATAAAAAGGGCAGAGGGATTTTGATATTTGATACATTTGTATTGGCTCAAACCTTGTGGTTGTGAGAGAGGGAGATTCCCTTGAATTAGGTCATGTAGTCCATGTTCATTACATCACTAAGCAATATCATTGTCTTCCCTTAATAAGTATCTTTAAACCCTAATTTCTATTTCTCATTACCCACAACTCAAAACCAATATAACAATAACAAGTGATTAAGAGAACTTTTTACACTTTGAAAGGCAAGTAGTGGTCTTTAGGAGAAAGGCTTACAGATCAGGAAGTGCAACATCAATCGATCATAGGTTAAGTTTACACATTCAACAAAATCTGTAAAACTTTATATTCCCAAACCACACAATAATCAATCATAAGTTAAGTTTACAAATCCACAACAAACAAAAGAGGAAAAAGAAGCAATCTTCACTCATTTCCAGCAACCAATCTTTGCATAAATAACAATAAAAAGAACAAAAATTTCCCAGAAACAGAGTCAAAATTCATAGCTATCAAACACTCTATGAAGATGATCAAGACTCAGGTGCTCGTCTTCATATTCAATATCTGAAGCAGTGACCATAATATATCCACCCGATGTATGTTTCTGTTATTCTCGCACTATAAAAAAAACATAATATTCACAACATTAGTCCCTTGACTTTTTTTTTTAACAAAAAAGTCCAAGCAAGCCTTGGGTCAGGAATGGATGTACCTCAACAACAAAACACATCCGGGTTTTTTCGCCATAGACATCAGTCACACCTTTTAAAATGGTCAAACCCAAGCTCCTAATTGCTTCTGTCATCTCAAGAAAATCAACACATTCATCGCACATCATCTGCATATACAAAACAAAATGTCGACAAAACATTAGGAAAAAAAAAAAAAAAACATTTCAGGGTTTTTATTGCTTTTTGTACCTCTATCAGCATTTGCCCATCAACACCAATATTTTCCACAATTATCGGACACAGTTTCACGTCATTCCCTACTTCCATCGCCCAACTCGAACCCTGCCTTTCCTTTCCAACCAACTGCAGAATCACAAATTCCAATCAACATTCTAAAGACCGGAACCGGAATCAGAATTTGAAGTTTTGAACCACGGCATAACATAACACGTAGTATTCAAACAATCACCTCGAAGTCAGCAGATTTGTTGATTTTACAAGTACGCTTGGTGACACATTGCATGAAAAGCATATGCTTTATTGTTTCTTCCAAAAGCGAATCAATACTACACTGCAACAA